AGGGTCTCTAGGTTCTGCTCACACTTGGGTTGTCCCTGAAGAAAGGGTGGCTTGCCCCAAGTGTAGATTCATTCACGCTCTGTCTGGATGGGAGAGGGCACGGCCGACCCCCAGCCCCGCCCTCCCCCAGGAAGGTCAGCAGGGAAGCGGAGGCTTGGCCTGCCTCTGTGTTCGGCTCAGTGAGCGTTTTCCAGATGATAATGTTTGCTGCACACTTGTTACTCGCTGGACATAACCATATGAGGCCACACTCAAAAGCTAGCAGGTGGATTCAAAGGGCCCGTGTCCTCAGCTAGGACCCCACGTAGCCGGCACTACTTAGAAACGCGTATGTATTGCCCAGGGGAGCAAGTCTTCCCAGAGGCCAAACCTACTTCCTTAGGAAGGGTGTGCCCCAGCGCATGTCGCGGATAAGCTTTGCAGACCCCTGCACACAGACTCAGCTCCGCAGACAGGAGGCTGTGCTGTTTGGGGTGCGGCTGGAAGAGCCCAGGGGCTTGAGTGAGCCCTGCACGCACCTGCAGAAGCTCGGGTCATTTCGGTCGTGCCGCTGTGCTCCCTTCTCTCCGGGCCTCGCTGCCGGCAGCAAGGGCAGTAACTTAGAAGATTTGGGGGCCTGCACCCTTGCTCTTGCTATGGAAACTAAAATGAAGTATCTTTGGGAGGAAAGGAGGGGGATGGGAGCCGGTATCCTCCACAGTCAGGGTTTCTCCTGTTGGACGATGCGCGGAGCCAGAGAAGCACACGGGCGGGAGAAGGAACGGGTTCAACGGCATCCATCAGGGGCTACCCAGAGGCACGCTTACAATGCGGGGTGGGGGGGAGTAGGAGCAGATGGGTGGGTGGGGGGCTCTGCTCTCCCCACCTGAGTCGGGCTGTTTGCATGGGCTGGTGTCCCCGCCCCCTTCCCCGGTGCAGCCTCAGCGCCCTGGGTGGGGGTACAGCCTCAGCGCCCTGGGTTGGGGTACAGCCTCAGCACCCTGCGGTTGGGGTCGAGCTCATTTGCTCCAGTAGATCTTACCTTGTTCCTGAAATACTCCTGGGGAAAGTACACTTGAACCTGACTGGAATGAGTTGGGGGGGGGGGTCCCTGGAAGCCAGCAGCGTGGCCCACTGGCGTTCACAGAAGCCTTGTGGAGAACTGCGTTCCTCGCCCCCACCGGCCACCAGCAGGACAGGAGGGGGGGACCCCCCATACCCAGGTGACTCGCATCATCACCTGTTTTTCCAAGAATGCATTTTTGTCTCTCACTTCTTTCCTTGCAAAGAAATACATGCTCGGGGTCTGGAGTCAGGTTAACACGTGGGCATGTTGGGTTACAGCACAAGGGTGCTGGTGCTGGCCACCATGGCCTACTGACGGCTTTCAGCTTCCCGGCCTTCTGGCCTTTTTCCCAGTCCTGTGGCTTCTGGCGGAGGGTCGGAGGCAGTGTGGGCTGTTGGGCTCCCTTCCTGCCCCAGTGGTGTGCCCCCATGACTCTTGAGGCCATTCCTCCCGAGGCCATTCCTCCTAGGCCTGGGAGGGTTGGGACACAGCCTTCTGCAGCTGAGGAAATCACACGCTTTGTCAGGAATCAGACCAGCTGGAGGCCTCCCCTGGGGCTGAGTCTGGCCCCCCATTTCTTGCACATAGTGTAATTGTGTGACAACTTAGTTTTGTAGCCCTTGGGACCTCTCAGGCTTGCAGCTTCCCTGAGCTCCACTGCGGCAGCTCCCCTGCCCTTGGTGGCAGGGCCCAGGCCTGGAGGTCAGCCGTGCATGTCCTGAAACATGCTCCAGGTGTGGCTGTGGGCATGGGTGGGGCCACATAGCAGTGTGTGCAGGTGCAGAAGGAGACGGGCCCCCACAGGGGTGTGCCCAGGGTCACACAGCAGTGCTGGCAAGTGCAGGAGATGGCCCCGATGGCTTTCCAGGGGAATTCTACCAGACATTTAAGGAAGAGTTAACACCTATTCTCTTGAAGCTGTTCCAAAAAATAGAAATGGAAGGAAAACTTCCAAACTCTTTCTGTGAAGAGTTACCTTGATTGCAAAACTAGACAAAGACCCCACTGAAAAGGAGAACTATAGACCAATTTCCCTGATGAACATGGATGCAAAAATCCTCAACAAGGTATTAGCCAACCAGATTCAACAATACATTAAAAAAATTATTCACCACAACCAAGTGGGATTTACACCTGGGATGTAGGGCTGGTTCAATATCTGCAAAACAATTAATGTGATTCATCACATTAATAAAAGAAAGGACAAGAACCATATGATCCTTTCAATAGATGCAGAGAAAGCATTTGACAAAATACAGCATCCTTTCTTGATAAAAACCCTTAAGAAAGTAGGGATAGAACGAGCACACCTCGAGATCATAAAAGCCATATACGAATGTCCCAAGGCTAATATCATCCTCAATAGGGCAAAACAGAGCTTTCCCCATAAGGCCAGGAATGAGACAGGGATGTTCACTCTCGCCACTGTTATTCAACATAGTACTGGAAGTCTTAGCCTCTGCAATCAGACAACACAAAGAAATAAAAGGCATCCAAATCGGCCAGGAGGAGGTCAAACTTTCACTCTTCGCAGATGACATGATACTCTATATGGAAAATCCAAAAGATTCCACCAAAAAACTGCTAGAATTGATTCATCAATTCAGCAAAGTTGCAGGATATAAAGTCAATGCACAGAAATTGGTTGCCTTCCCATACACCAACAATGAAGTGACAGAAGAGAAATCAAGGAATTGATCCCATTTACAGTTGCACAAAAAAAACATAAAATACCTAGGAATAAATCTAATCAAAGAAGGGAAAAGTCTGTACACTGAAAACTATAGAAAGCTTATGAAAGAAATTGACAAGACACAAAAAAAATGGAAAAAGGTTCCATGCTTCTGGATAGGAAGAACAAATATTGTTAAAATGTCGATACTACTCAAGCAATCTACATAGTCAATGCAATCTCTATCAAAGTAACACCAGCATTCTTCACAGAGCTAGAACAAATAATCCTAAAATTTGTGTGGAACCAGAAAAGACCCCGAATAGCCAAAGCAATCTTGAAAAAGAAAACCAAAGCAGGAGGCATCACAATCCCAGACTTCAAGCTATACTACAAAGCTGTAATCTTGAAGACAGTATGGTACTGACACAAGAACAGACACTCAGATCAATGGAACAGAATAGAGAACCCAGAAATGGACCCACAAACGTATGGGTAGCTAATCTTTGACAAAGCAGGAAAGAATATCCAATGGAATAAAGACAGTCTCTTCAGCAAGTGGTGCTGGGAAAACTGGACAGCAACATGCAGAAGAATGAACCTGGACCACTTTTTTACACCATACACAAAAATAAACTCAAAATGGATGAAAGACCTCAATGTAAGACAGGAAGCCACCAAAATCCTTGAGGAGAAAGCAGGCCAAAACCTCTTTGATCTTGGCTGCAGCAACTTCTTACTCAACACATCTCTGGAGGCAAGGGCAACAAAAGCAAAAGTGAACTACTGGGACCTCATCAAAATAAAAAGCTTCTGCACAGCAAAGGAAACAATCAGCAAAACCAAAAGGCAACGGACAGAATGGAGAAGGTATTTGCAAATGACATATCAGATGAAGGGTTAGTATCCAAAATCTATAAAGAAGTTGTCAAACTCAACACCCAAAAAACAAATAATCCAGTGAAGAAATGGGGAAAAGACATGACTAGACACTTCTCCAAAGAAGACATCCAGATGGCCAACCGACACGTGAAAAAAATGCTCAACATCACTCATCATCAGGGAAATACATATCAAAGCCACAATAAGATAACACCTTACACTTGTCAGAATGGCTAACATTAACAACTCAGGCAACAACAGAAGTTGGCGAGGATGCGGAGAAAGAGGATCTCTTCTGCATTGTTGGTGGCAATGCAAGCTGATGCAGCCACTCTGGAAAACAGTATGGAGGTTCCTCAAAAAACTAAAAATAGAACTACTGTACGACCCAGCAATTGCACTACTAGACATTTATCCAAGGGATACAGGTATGTTGTTTCTTTTTTTTTTTTTTTTAGTTTTTTTTTTCAACGTTTATTATTTTATTTTTGGGACAGAGAGAGACAGAGCATGAACGGGGGAGGGGCAGAGAGAGAGGGAGACAGAATCGGAAACAGGCTCCAGGCTCTGAGCCATCAGCCCAGAGCCCGACGTGGGGCTCGAACTCACGGACCGCGAGATCGTGACCTGGCTGAAGTCGGACGCTTAACCGACTGCGCCACCCAGGCGCCCCCAGGTATGTTGTTTCAAAGGGACACATGCACCCCCATGTTTATAGCAGCACTATCAACAATAGCCAAAGTATGGAAAGAGCCCAAATGTCCATCAATGGAGAAATGGATAAAGAAGTTGTGATATATATATATATATATATATATAATGGAGTATTACTTGGCAATGAAAAAGAATGAAATCTTGCCATTTGCAACTACGTGGATGGAACTGGAGGGTATTATGCTAAGTGAAATTAGTCAGAGAAAGGCAAAAATCATATGAATTCACTCATATGAGGACTTTAAGAGACAAAACAGATGAACATAAGGGAAGGGAAACAAAAATAATATAAAAACAGGGAGGGGGACAAAACAAAAGAGACTCATAAATATGGAGAACAAACTGAGGGTTGCTGGAGAGGTTGTGGGAGGGGGGATGGGCTAAATGGGTAAGGGGCATTAAGGAATCTACTGAAATCATTGCTTCACTATATACTAACTAATTTAGATGTAAATTTAAAAAAAATAAAAAATAAAGTTAAAAAAAACGGAGGGGGACAAAACAGAAGAGACTCATAAATATGGAGAACAAACAGAGGGTTACTGGAGGGGTTGTGGGAGGGGGATGGGCTAAATGGGTAAGGGGCAGTATGGAATCTACTCCTGAAATCATTGTTGCACTATATGCTAAACTAATTTGGATGTAAATTAAAAAAAAATACAAAATAAAACAAGATAAAAAAAATTAAAAAAAGAAAAAGAAGGAAAAGTCCCCGCAAGGGTGTGCCCAGGGCCACACAGCCATGCGGGCAGCTCCAGAAGGAGACGGGCCCTGCAGGGGTGTGCCCGGGGCCACACAGCAGTGCAAGCATGGCCCCCTCCCCTTGGTGCCTCCCAGATGGGCCTGTCCCCTCAGACGGACCACTCACAGCTCAGCCAGGCCCATTGCTCCTGTCAGAGCCATGAGGAGGATGGGACAGTCCCATGGCATGCAGCCAGCATGTGGATGGTCTGGCACACCACATGAGCAGAGTGTAGATGCAGGGAGCACCAAGGAGGCCAAATGTCCCACAAGAGCCCAGTGATGTATGGGCAGGGGCTGCAGCTGGGGGCCTGGGGTCTGTCCACAGGCAGCAGATGGGCTGGTGCCAGGGGTGCATGGCCGGGGGTATCCTGACCTGCAGGTGCCACTTCCTAGAGCCAAACTTGCCTGTCTTTGACAGGGCATAGGGACAAGGGACTCAGAGAGACTTATGAGTGTGAGCTATGGGGGGTTACAGGTCAGAGAGGAGGATGAGCATGGGGGTGAGCTATGGAGGATCACAGGTCATGAGGAGGACAGAGGAGGAGGGTAAAGTATGGAGGGTCACAGGTCAGGGAGGAGGATGGAGAAGGGTCTCCAGACCCCTCTATGGAGGGTCACAGGTCAGGGAGGAGGACTGGAAGAGGAGGATCCCAGGACTACAGGAAGTCAGAAGTCGGGGGGTAACTGCTAACATGCTGGTGTCAGGGGATCATCAAAGTTGAGATCATTCCCAGTCCCCCTGTGGCATCAGTGTTCACAGAAGAGGAAGAAGGACCCTGGAGGGCTTGCCCTCTGTTGGCTACAGCGTGACTAGCTATCTGTGTCTGTACCACCTCAGTGTCCAGGATCTTCAGGCACCTTCTAAGAATGTAGCTTCCCAAACCCCGAGAAATGAATGTCTGTTGAAGCCTTCTATTCTGTGGTTTTATCATGGTGACTGAGCTCAGATTTTGGGCACTCTGGGTGCATCTGGTCTGTGCTCAGATCCTCAGTTTCCCCAGCAGACACAGGGGTGCTGGCTGAGGGCAGGGGTGAAGCAGAGTGTGCATAGAACTCCCATCTTGCTGGCTATGGTGGGTCTGCTTCCTCCCTACCCTCCTTCCCACCTCCCTGGGTGCTCTGGACCCCTGGCCCTTACACCTGGCCGTGGTGAGAGTCAACTGGTGGACACACCTGCAGGAAAAGTCCTCAGATCAAGCAGGTGCAAGGGGCATGCCTGCGTGTCTTCCCCTGGTCCCTACCCTCATTTGGGGTTCCTGAAGGGGGTTTCTCAGACCTGGGCTGCTGGAGGCAGGGAATCAACCACTTCCCAGCAGGTGGGCCCTCTGGGTCCTGGTTAAGCCCCACCAGACAAAGGCTACCTTTCACCCAGGCAGGGCTGGCCTTTTGTCCCTGCTTGTCCCTGCATCAGGGTGATAGCCATGGAGTTGGGAACAGTCTTCCTGGGTCATTTGCAGCACACACATTGTCCTGCCGGCCCACCCTGGGGCCTGGGGCCCTCCCTTGTCCATGGCCAGCAAAGGCCCCTAGCTGGGTTCTCAGGGGTTCCCATTTAAAGGTGCCATGGACACAACAGCTAGGCCAGGTGCTGCCGGAAGCACCAAGGATACAATACCTGCCCTAGGCCTGTGTGTAGCTTCTGGCTGCCCACCTATACCCAGAGTCTGCAGGACCTTCAGACGGCCAGTGCACTTGGCATGTTCCTGGGACCCCTGTCCCCTCTGGGCAGTCCTGGGTGCCCTCTGTGTGGTTTCTGGTCCCCCTCTCCCCTCTGGCTGGTTCTAGTCCCCTCTGGGCAGTCTTGGATCCCCTCTGGCTGGTTCTGGGTCCCCTCTGACTGGTTCTGGATCCCTTCTGGGGGAGGGGTCCCAGGTCCCTTCAAGGTGATCTTGGATATCCTCTGGGGGTCTCAGGTCCCCCTCTCTCCTCTGGGTGGTTCTGGGTCCCCTAGGCTCCCTCCTTCCCTGCACCCCGGGATATTAGTCTGAACAGGGTTCCCCACAAGATGGGGTCCCTGCCCCACCCACATCCCTGCTGTCCCCCACCAAACACCTGGCCATGCAGAGTCTGTGCCCTTTGCTTCCGTGGGGCTGGGGGTGAAACCAAATCCGGGGCAGTGACACCCGGGCTATTTTGGAGTTGGGCTGGGTTGGGCTGGCTGGTGGTGGGGGCGGGCCCAGCCTTCTCCAGCTGACAGCGTCCGCCTGTCCTTTCGTCCCTGTCCAGTCTGAGGACCGGCCAGAGAGTGGGCTGCTGGGTGGGAGCCGTGTCGGTCCTGGGCCCGTGGAGGGAGGTGAGACCCAGCAGCCCCTGCCCTGCCGTCTGAGCCCCCCGCCTGGGTGCTGCTCCCAGCCTCCCGTAGAGACAGGTGAGGAGGCAGGACAGACAGGGGTGGGGGCCATCCTGGGCCTAGCCCCTCTCCTCCAGGACTGCTCTGTTGAAGGTCAGGGCTGTGGGGTACAGTGGCCCTGGGAGGGGGCTGGTCTAGCCAGGCTGTGCCGCTCCTCTGAGGGTTGGAGCCCTGGAATCCAGTCCCTGCAGTGACCTGAGCCCTCATTTGGGGAGGGAGCAGCTGGGGTGTGAGGTCAGGGGGCCATGGGGTGCATCCACCTCCTCCTTCGCTGGGGGCTCCCTGCTGTGAGGCAGGCCTAGAGGTCTGGCCGGCCCTGCCCCCAGCTCTGCTGAGATGGATGTCCGCTGACAGCTGGGGCTATTTTAGGCCTGTTGGCTCAGCAGAGGGGACAGCCAAAGGGGCACTGACACCTGACTCCAGGAAAGAATTTCCCCAGGAGTTCGGGAAGCCGCCAGCCCAAGGGTCTAGGGGGAGGCACAGACTCCAGGAGCTGCCCTTGGAAGTCTTTTCTGGAAGGGTGGGGGCGGGGGCAGCAGGGATTCCCAGGAAGGGACCAGACTCTGCAGTCAGGCTGCAAGTCACTTCCCACCCTTGGTGCATCTGAGAAATGGCCCAGGGGCCCCTGGAAGAGGACCTGAGATTGGCCAAGTTCTAGAAGAGCCAGGATGGAGGGTGTGGGCAGGGCTCAGGTCAGCCCCGGGGACTCCTGGGCTCTAGAGAAATGACCCCAGGTGGGGGTTGGGGGAGTCATGGTCTCCATGTGGAGGGAGGCTCCTGCCAGTGCCAAGCTAGGTCCTCCAAGAAATCAGGAGTCTGAGTGGGGTCTACAGGGAGCTGCCTTCTCAGGCGGGCATCTGAGGAAGGAAGGGGCTTTTCCTGGGAGGCTGGGGCTGTGTCCCCTCCTGAGTCTCCTGTCTCTGAGCTCACTGCTGCATGTATGTGCCCAATGGGAGTTCTGGGGGCCCCCAGAGGGTGTTCCCAACTTGGCCTGAAGGACGGTGGGTGGCTCTGGAGTCCTCGGGCAAGCATTTCTGGAGCTAGGGTTCTACTGACCAGTGGGGATGCCTGCCTGGCAGGGTAGACTCGGAGGCAGCTGTATCTGTGGGAGCCCCCAACCCTGGCTTCATGGTGTCTGCTGCATTGAGGTGGGAAATACAGGCTGTTAAATGAGGAGACAGGCATCAGCACTGTCCCTGGGGGCCTCAGAGGATCTTGGAGGTCTCTGCCCACCCCTGCCAGGCCAGGGGTCAGCCTGTGCACCTGCCAAGGTCCTGGGCTGGCTCCCCCTAAGCACGTGTGGTGATGGGAGCTCCCTGTCCTGTCCCTGTTGCTGTCCTTACCCCCCAGAGGCCACTAGCTGTGGGGTGGCCCCTGCCCATGCCCACTCATGAGCTCAGAGGACCTATCTCCCATAGCTGCACCTGGTGTGTTGGAGGGAGGATTCAGTGTCCTGCTTTGGGGGACCCACCGACTGTGATTCAGGAGGGGGGCCCTGGGAGCTTAGATCTCAGGGGAGATCTGAGTAAGCCTTCTCCAGAGGGACATCAAGGCCCAAGAGGGCGTCCCCAGGGGCGGGGCTCTGGTGGCCACCTGCCCAGGTCCTCCCAGCTCCAGAACATGGCCAGGCCGTGGGGGGCAGGGGCCAGAGGTGCTGACCACACAGTGAGTCAGCAGGCTGGAGCGGTCTCACCTCCTAGAGGGGGATTAAGGGGGATTAGGCCCTGAATCACAGGACATCACCCCACTTGTCCCGCAGTGGGCAGCCCACGCTAGAAGCCCAGCTGTGGATTGGGGAAGGAGTAAAGGTGCTTGAGGCCAGCCCTGAGCCCAGTGGGCTGCTGTTCTTACATAAAGAAGCCGGGGGGGGGGGGGGGGGGGCCCCCGCTCACCACACCCACCTGTGCTGAAGGCCAGCTGGGGCCTGAGGGGGAGGGGAGGCTTAGGCAGAGGCCTGTCCCCTGAGGCTTTCGGGTGGTGCCCACCCCATCCCCACAGGGTGCCTGGCCAGTGGAGCCACAAAGTCTGTAGAGTGACAGGGCTCCTGCCAGTCAACCTGGCCAGACCCTTCCCAGGGGACTCTCTGCCTGTCCTCCCTGGGCTCACTGCTGACTGTGTGCCCTCCAGATCCTCCTGTGGCTGTTCACAGTGAGGGGGTGTGGGCAGCTCAGCCAGTTAGGAAGAAGTCACCTGGCAACAGGGTCTCTAATCCTTCCCTGCTCATCAGGGTTTTTTGGCAGGGGAGGGGAGGAGGCATCGCAGGACAAGTGCAGGCAGCTACAGGTGGGAAAGGCCTCTGTCGTGGGCACTTCCTGGGGCGAGGAGGGTTGAGCTGCACCCGGCAGGATGTGTGGCCCAACAGCTTTGGAAGATGAGTCACCTGGAGGAGGAAGTGGGGGGACAAAAGGGGACACGCAGGGCCAAGGGCTCAGAGGAGAGCCTGCTGGGAGATGGGTCACCTTGGGTGCACTCCCACCAGAGGCCAGGCCCCGTCCAGGTGTGGAGAGCTGAGTGGCAGTGATATAAGCAGACTGGAGTTTCAGACTCCAGGAAGCAGAGGTGTGTGGGGGACGGGAACTGGTCACCAGGAAGCAGCTGGAGTGGGCAGGGGGGAACAGGCAGGTCTGTGTGGAGAGGTACAGCATGGCCCCCAGGGTAGGGAGGACCCTGGTGCACAGAGAGGAGCGCCAGCCTGGCTGCTGGTGTGCTGTTTTGGGACAGGTTCTCAACTGGACCTGAGTTGGGGCGTAAGGCTAGAGCTGGGGGGACAGGAAGGAGATATGCTCACCCATTAGAAAAGCCCGTCGAGGGGTGCACCAGACTCCAGGTGCCCAGAAAGGGGTAAATCTGATTTTCTGCACCACTGTGCCTTCTGGTAGTTCTACCTGCGCGTGGAGGTGGGGGGTGGAGATAAGGCCGAGAGGTGTCCACCCTGGGTTAGACTGGGTTCTTCAGGGACAGTGGTTGGGAAGCCGCGGAGGACTCGGACAGCACCTGCGGCTCATCCCCACTATGACCTTCCCCCAACCTGCTCTCAGGTCCGTCCCGTCGCCCCCGCCCCCCACCATGGATCACTCATTCAGCGGGGCGCCCCGATTCCTGACCCGGCCCAAGGCCTTTGTGGTGTCGGTGGGGAAGGACGCCACGCTGAGCTGCCAGATCGTGGGCAACCCTACGCCGCAGGTGAGCTGGGAGAAGGACCAGCAGCCGGTGGAGGCGGGCTCTCGCTTCCGGCTGGCCCAGGACGGCGACCTGTACCGCCTCACCATCCTGGACCTGGCCCTGGGCGACAGCGGGCAGTACGTGTGCCGCGCGCGCAATGCCATCGGCGAGGCCTTCGCGGCCGTGGGCCTGCAGGTGGACGCCGAGGCCACTTACGCCGAGCAGGCGCCCCACTTCCTGCTGCGGCCCACGTCCATCCGCGTGCGCGAGGGCGCCGAGGCCACCTTCCGCTGCCGCGTGCGCGGCTCGCCGCCCATGGCCGTGAGCTGGGCCAAGGACGGCCGGCGCCTGGGCGCGCCCGACGCCCCCCGGGTGCGCGTGGAGGCCAGCGGCGAGGCCAGCGCGCTGCGCATCCAGTCCGCGCGGCCGCGCGACGAGGGCACATACACGGTGCGCGCCGAGAACCCGCTGGGCGTCGCCAGTGCCGACGCCGCGCTCACGGTAGACGCGGACCCAGACGCCGCCCCGCCGGGAGCCTCCACTGCCGGGCTTCTGGCGCACCTGCAGCGGCGTCGGGAGGCCATGCGCGCCGAGGGCATCCCTGCCTCGCCACCTGACTCTGGCACGCGCACCTGCACGGTGACTGAAGGCAAGCACGCGCGCCTCAGTTGCTACGTGACGGGCGAGCCTAAGCCAGAGACGGTGTGGAAGAAGGATGGCCAGCTGGTGGTGGAGGGCCGGCGACACCTGGTGTACGAGGACGCTCAGGAGAACTTCGTGCTCAAGATCCTCTTCTGCAAGCAGTCGGACCGGGGCCTCTACACCTGCACGGCGTCCAACCTGGTGGGCCAAACCTACAGCTCCGTGCTAGTCGTCGTACGAGGTGAGCGCCTTGCCCGCGGGGCCGGGAGTGCACGGTCCCCGCCCAGGTCGCTGCCCGCAGAGCGCAGAAGCAGGCGCCTCCCCAGTCCCGCCCCCACCTGGAATGGAATCCGTGCTGGAATCCTGAGGCAGAGCTGTTGGCGGCTCTAGCCTCTTCGGGCCCAGGAAATGAGGGCGACACGGATGGCCCTCGACCTGTCCTATTGTCTTTGTGAGAGTCACATGAGTGAACAAAGCGCTTTGTCCTAAGCAACCCCTCCTCCTGAGACACTGTCGGGGTGAACCAGGCCCTCCACCCCAGTGACAGGTTGCCAAAGGGGTCTCCCAGTCAGAGTCCGGGAGAAAGGCAAGGGCTGGGGCGGGGGCCGAGCCGGGTTGAGCCAGTTCACAGGTTCCCGTTGAGGATCCCTGGAGGGGTCCGGGGCTCCCTCCGGGTTCTGGAGGGAAGGAAGCCCTGGCAGGCGACGTGATCAGGTCCTGCGGGCAAGTTGGCGAGGCTCCTAAGAGCAGAGACTGACCTCCACTTCTAACCCGCTGTAGGATCTCAGGGTGCTCCGACCTTCAGTGCGCCCCCAGGCCATGGCCCACGCGGAGGAAACAGCCCGGTTCCTTGGGGAGGGGGGCTGCACGGGGGGAAATGCGCAGGGCAGCGGGGCCTGGCCCACAGCCGGTGATCAGAGACTGCAGTGATCTGGAGCTGGCCCCGCAGCCTGGCTGCTGCGTGGGCGTGGGTGTGGGCGTGAGTCCCCCGAGCTTTGCGCTGGGCTGCTGCCTGCGGGCCTCGGTTCAACTTTTTGTCTTCAGGACATCTCCTTCTGTTTAAGGGAAAGGGGCTCTTCAGGTTCTGTGCCCTCGCCCGCCCCTGTCCCGCCTCCATCCCCCTACCTCCCTACACGCTTCCCTGCTGCTCGCCTGCCTCTCCACTCCCCCCTGCCCCGTAGCCCCCTCAACCCTGCCCTGGTTCCCCGCCCCCACGCTCCAGCCTCCCGCTCCGAGCCCCTTAACCTGCCCCCCTTCCTGCCCTCCCGCGCAGCTCACCGCGGCTCCATCCCCACGCTCTGCCCCCTCCCCCCTCCTCTGTCTCCTCGAGCTCTCTTCCCTGCCTCGCCGCTGCAAGCATCCCGCCGCCCCAGCACCTCTCACGCGCCTCCTCCCCGCAGAGCCCGCCGTGCCCTTCAAGAGGCGACTTCAGGACCTGGAGGTGCGGGAGAAGGAGTCGGCCACGTTCCAGTGCGAGGTGCAGCTGCCGTCCACGGAGGCCGCGTGGTACAAGGAGGACACGCGTCTGTGGGCCAGCGCCAAGTACGGCATCGAGGAGGCGGGCACTGAGCGCAGGCTCACGGTGCGCAACGTCTCAGCCGACGACGACGCCGTCTACATCTGCGAGACCACGGAGGGCAGCCGCACGGTGGCAGAGCTCGCGGTGCAAGGTGGGAGGGGTCGGGCGGGAAAGGGGTAGGGTCCTACGGGGGGGGGGGGCGGGGTCATGTGGGGGTGAGAGCAGAGGTCCTGCGGGTGGCAGCATGGGTTGGGGGGGTAGGGGTCCTGCGGGTGGCAGCGCCGTGCTGGTGGTGAGGCCTTGCAGGAGGTGGGCAGCGATCAGAAGGGGCTGGGCAGGGGTCCTGCGGGATGCGGACAGGGGTCCTGTGGG